TCTGCGATACTTTATGTTGTGGCTAAGGCCAATCATAGTTTAAAGCAGGCCCTTGACTAAGTAGACCAGGGAGAAATGGGGGGAAAAACTAGACAATGTACAGAATTGTCTAGAAAGCTTGTTATTACACTTAGTGATTTATCTTTGTTTTGAGATTTTTATTCTTATTTTTAGATCGCAAAAATATCTTTACTTTTAAGTAGTTATCCCCACTCCCAGCTCCCTTCACATACCTGGCAAGTAGGTCCAAACATTGACAACCGATTTTGTATTGATTCATCCAGTCTGTTTTTGAAGTTTACAGCTCCATGAAATCTACAGTTGCTTACCACTGGTTCATTTTGTGCATAACACATGTAATTGGAGTTGGTATGTGAGTGTTGTTTTTTTTCTCCTCACGTCAACAATCTATTCTTTCTCACCAACTGGGTGTCCAGCAATTCAATTCAGTTCTGATGCTATCCAGAGTTAACACAAACCCCACAGGTTAAGGGCTCAGACTCATAGGGCTGCCCTCATTTCAGATGCCAGATGCAAATGGAATGTCCAGGCTACCCACATGTCTGCCCAGCCGACTCCAAATTCACAAATGCCAGAGCCCTGCACCCCACGTTTGGTAATTCACTGAAATGATTCCCAGAATTCAGGAATGCGCTTCACTAATGCTAGTTTGTTACAAAGGACAAATTAAGGAACAGCCAAATGGAAGAGATGCATAGGGTAAGCTATGGGGTAGGGGTGAGGGTGGAGGTTGAATGAATCTTTCATGCCCTTTCTGAGTGCTACTCTCCTAGCCACCTTCATGTGCTCACCAACTCAGAAATTCCGAGCTCTGCCATTTAGGGTTTTTGTGAAGGCTTCATCACGTAGTCGTAATTGATGAAGTCCCTGGCCATTGGTGATTTAATTCATTCTCTAGCCCTTCTCCCCTTCCCAGATGTGGGAGGGAAGGGCGGGGCTGAGTTCCAGCCTTCAAATCATGCCTTGATATACCTGGCTACTCAGCCCCATCCTGAAACTATCTAGGAGCCCCTTAGTCAAGAGTCATCTCATTAGCGTACCAGAGATACTCAGAGGTTTCTAAGGGTTTCTGGAGCTTTGTGCCAGAAACCTGGGACAAAGACTAAATACAATTGAATGCTACTAATAGCCTTCTGTCCAGTGGAAGGCTTATGACTTATTAACACATGTTTTGTATGTTACATGCATTTTTTTTACTGCATTTTTACAATTAAGCTAGATAAAAGAAAATGTTATTACAATCTTAAGGAATATATATTATTCATTAAGTGGATGTGAACTATCATAAAGGTCTTTATCTTTTCTGTCTTCACATTGAATAGACTGATGAGGAGGAGAAGAAAGAGGAGGGGCTGGTTTTGCTGTCTCAGGTGGTTGAGGTGGAGGAAGTGGAAGGAAGGGCAGGCACGCTTGGTGTAATTTTTATTGGAAAAAAATGATATAAATGGACTGGACTGGTACAATTTAAAATCATGTTGTTCAAGGGTCAGCTGTGTTTTTTTTATTATACCACAGAATGTTTCTAGTGAGGAGAGGTCCTCAGAGGCTGTGAAAAGTAATGGGAAGGTTGAGTTGCATTTGCCATGAAACCCCAGCATACAGTGCCATTCTTTCCTGGCAGGACTTTGATGTGGCTTCTCTGAGTACCTGATGTCTTCTGTGACTACACAGTTATTTGGGTGTAACCTGTCCCTTCTCAGCTTGCCATATACAATACCATGTGGCTAGTACTACTCCAGTAACACTTCAGCTCTTACCTCTATCCCATTTTTTCTTCTCTTTATTCCTGGCTTTGTTTGGGTTTGTATCCTTAACATCTCATTTTGAAGGTTTCTTTTCATCTTAATCAGAAAGCTAGTCAATTTTTTACTTTTTGACCTTTCTTGGCTACTTGGAGATGTTCTTGTTTCTGTCCAGGGAAATTGAAGTAACTGGATCTTTGAATGCTAGGTGGTTTGTACATATTTTGGTTAATTAAGCACTAGTCAAAACTGTTCAATTAATAATATATTTCAATATTTATGATGTCTGCAGCAACCTATTGTACAGCAATGGGGAGGAAAAAGGTGGAGGAAAACTCTCCTTGCTTTAGATTTCCTACTTTAAAAAACAATTTTTTTTTTTGAGGCATGGAATGATCTCTTTACAAAATGAAGTTACTACTTTATCTTATATGATTCTCCTGGGACTTCTTTGTTTTTTTTTTTTTTTGAGTTGGAGTCCCACTCTGTCGCCCAGACTGGAGTGCAGTGGCCGCTCCCGGCCACCGCAGCCTCGACCTGCTGGACTCCAGTGATCCTTCCGACTCAACCTTCCAAGTAGCTGGAATTACAGGCATGCGCTACCACGCCCGGCTGATTTTTTTTTGATTTATTGTAGAAATGAGGTCTCGCTGCCCAGGCGGGTCTCGAACCCGCGGGCTCAGGCAATTCACTCACCCCAGCCTCCCAAAGGCGCGGGATTACAGGCTGAGCCACCGAGCCCGGCTTCTCCTGGGACTTCTTGAAGAGACATTATTTCTCTTAAACTTTGGGAAGCATAATGTAGGTGCAAAAATATTAATTTTTGAAAACTGGAAAATTCTGTCCTGTCTTAACCTGCAGATTTGTTTATCGAATGATTATTTACAGTTAGCAGTAAATTTGTTTCTCGAATTGTAAGCTGTAAGAGGCACTTGGCCTTAGCTTGTTTCCCAGTCTTTGCATAGGGTTATATAAATGTTGTCATTTAACAAGTATTTCTGTTGTGAATGATAAAGAGGTTTCAACTGCTGTACTGACAAATGCTCTTTAATCAATCTTTTAAAAATAATTCAAGCTTTAGTTATTGACTTGTTTTTATCCACTGAAATATTTTTCTAAAAAATTTCAGTGCAGCCGGGCTCAGTGGCTCAGCCTGTAATCCCACGCCTTTGGGAGGCTGAGGTGAGTGGATTGCCTGAGCCCACGGGTTCGAGACCCACCTGGGCAGCGAGACCTCATCTCTACAATAAGTCAAAAATTCAGCCGGGTGTGGTAGCGCATGCCTGTAATTCCGGCTACTTGGAAGACTGAGGTGGAAGGATCACTGGAGCCCCGCAGGTCGAGGCTGCGGTGGCCGGGAGTGAGACTCCAACTCAAAAAAAAAAAAAAAAAATTTTCAGTATAAAAAATTCAGCATAAAAAATTGCTGCACAAATACTGATATAAGTTAGTTTTTGTAAAATTTTTCCAATGGAAAATTATAAACAATTATAACCCTGTTTTTTAAAAAGTTTTTTTACTCATTGCTGTGACCTCTCTAGATCTCCTACGATCTTCTGTCATCAAGTCATAGGACAATAATAAAACTCATACCACCTCCTGCAAAGCTGCATTCATTATCTGTACTGGATGGGTTGAGAGATGGGGCAAAAGTGTGAGCAACAAGAGAGGGTGTGAGGGTGACATTTTGTTTCTGATAATTTGGAGGAAGAACCCCAGATGATTAATTGTTTACAATCTTTGTAAATAAAATTGGTAGAATGAGCATCCTTTTGTTAAGGATGGGGTTGCATGAGCTCCTTAGGAGGATCTCTATTAATTATTACCTAAACATCAGGAGTATTGAAAGACTTGTCTGTATGGAGAAAGAGTTTTAATTGTGTTAATAGTGAGCATAGCATAAATGTACTTGGTTATTTTTGTTTGTTTTTTCTGTTGTGAACTTTTGGTATTTGATTTTTAAAAAAAAGAAAACATGGTACTGGTATGGTGACTCTTACTTATAATCCCAGCAACTTTGGGAGGAAGAAGCGAGAGAATTACCTAAGCTCAGGGGTTCAAAACCAGCCTGGGCAACTTGGCAAGACCTCGTCTCTACAATAAACCAAACAATTAACTGGGTGTGGCGGTGCACGCCTGTAGTCCCAGCTACTTGGAAGGTTGAGACAGAAGGATTGCTTGAACAGGTGACAGAGTGAGACTCTGACTCTAAACAAACCACAAACAAATACATAAATAAAACATGGTGTGAAATAAAGTGAAGTTCAAGTTAATTTTTTCCAGCAGTATTATAAAACATTTGAAAGATGAATGTGTTGCTTATATGAAATTGAGATCACCTCTATATTTTATTTATTTGTGTATCTCAGTCTTACAGGATATCAAATATTGAGATAGATGAAACTAAGATTTAAAAATTCGAACACAGGAATGGTCTATTCCTCTTTACCATTTATCTGTGGAGGTTAGAACTCAAAATCTGTTAGGCTCTTTAGAAATCACCTCATTTTCCTTTTTCATTTTTAAATGAAGACATTAAAAGCATAGGATCTTACCTTGCCCAAGGGGAAATCAAGGATTTAGTATTAATAACATTTCCATCGTTTGATTGTTAGAGGCTACTCCATGTCTCAAGGGGTAGATAGTGCTTATCAGAATTTGTTATAGACCTTGAAGCAAGCCTAATGAGAAAAATAATTTCGCCAGTAAAGAAGGGGTAATCTTTGTGGTTCCAGCTACTTGGAAGGCTGGGGCGGAAAGATCACCTGAGCCCAGCAGGTGGAGGCTGTGGTGGCTGTAAGCGTGCCACTGCATTCCAGCCTGGGAGACAGAGTGAGACCAACTCAGAAAAAAAAAAAGAGAGGTAATCACAGACAGGTCACAGATATAATAAACATACATACAGCTACACAAATGGTAATTAATTCATACGTGCGGTTTTGTTTGGTTTAATGAATGAATTAAATACTCAAATTTAGAAGAAAACATTTCTTGTGTTGCTTGTGTTCTTTGTGGATCCTAATTGTCTTCTTTTTTGTCTAATGTTATTATACTTTATTTTTTTTGTCTTTCTCATTAGACTTTATTCATAAAGGCAGAAAACCTCGGTCTTATTCACTATTGTTTCCAGCATCCAGTAACAGCACTAATTGTTGACTGACTACCAGGTTTATATGACTATGCGAGACACTTAGCATATTTTAAATATCTTAAGTATGAATATTTTATTTTTTACAGTGAACAGAGTATCTGTCAGGCAAGAGCTGCTGTGATGGTTTATGATGATGCCAATAAGAAGTGGGTGCCAGCTGGTGGCTCAACTGGGTTCAGCAGAGTTCATATATATCACCATACAGGCAACAACACATTCAGAGTGGTGGGCAGGAAGATTCAGGACCATCAGGTAAGGGTCTATTAAAATTCTTGCTTCAAGAAGATCTAGTATTACATAAGGACTTGGTATATTCATTAAAATAAAGTAGTGCTTTAAGATTATAATCAAAATAGTCTCTCTGGAAAAAACTGATTATGGGTTTGCTTCTCTATCCCTTCTACCTTTTATGAAGCTGAAATTTAGATGAGAACTTAAAACTAATTGTACAAAAATATAAATGTGAGTTTTTTCTAGTATGAATCTTCATTAGATCTTCTGGCCTTCCAATTAGCTAGTTTTTGGAATGTAAAGTAAATTTTGGACAAACAAAAGTGAAATACTCCCTAAGTAGCATATTTATGGAATTCATTTCCTGCTAAGGGTGTGGAGTATGGGGCTAGAGGAAGGAGTTGAAAATGTAAATAACTTCAGAAAATATAGTTAAGTTCATATATGATAGAGAAATGGTAGGTATTGATGTTGCTAATAGTTAGACTTTTTGCAGTTCTTTTTGGGATGACAACTAAGCTCTTACTAATTCTTTGCTCGGAATTTCCTAGAAAGTAGCTGGATTATCTGATTACTTGATTTCTTGAGCCTTAACAGATGAGAAGTAGCAGATAGAGGAAAAAGTAAATAGAGTTTTAGTAGTCTTAACTATACACTAAAGGCAAGGACTTTTATAAGGAGTAGATTTACAAAATATCATTGGAAAAAATATTAGCCAAAGATACATCAAGGAATCAACTGTTGTTAAAATCATCCTGCCACACATGCACGAGAAAAAAACGCTATTTTCAGTGCCCAGCTGAGCTCTCACTAAAGAAAGATAGATTCCTAGGCTTTTGCTATACTGTGTATTGGTATAGTGTAAATGCATGCTGCAGTAGCCCGGGGTTTTAGAATGGAGATTATAAACTTAGGGACTAAGATTTGTCATACATGCATATAGGAACTGTGGGCCTATGGGTAGTTGGGCTGTGAAACTGATAGCTCTGCAAAAAACAGGGACTTAGAGGGGCAGCACCCTATAAAGAGAAGACTAAGAGAAATACTCCTGTCAGCACAGGGACACAAGAGAGTGTGTTTCTGTCTGAGGTGATTTAGAAGCTACCTTGAGAAACGGGAAACTCCAACTTCACTTATATACATCTCCAGTCAAGAAATTAACAAACACTAGCTGCAGGCCATGAAACTCTTTGGGTACCTGGTAAAAACAAATACAGTGCCCCTCTGGAAAGAAACTTTCACAGCTCTGAGTCAGTCTGCAGAAAGCGTAATTCACTAAATTTATCAAATTTATCCATTTAATATATATTATTTCAGTCTGCCTCTCTGTATGGCGTCTCAGGCTACCTTCTCTCTGTCTTCCTTGTGCCATGCCCTCTTACTCTCTTCGTTATCCTCCCTACTGTCTCTCCAGTTTTCCTTCTTTTGATACACAACCTTTCTTTGGTCTCCCCGGTCTCTTTGCCAGTAGCCCCTTCTGTACTATTGTTAGTCTAAGTTGTGCTGAGTGCTTTCTCTCCTCTTTGTTTTTTCTTCCAACACAATGTTCTAGCAGTGAGTTAGGCCAGAGACAGATCAAATACTCCCTAAGATGCTATTATAGGAAAAAATGAAAACTGGACAAATAAAACTTTGTAGAAATTGTTGAACATACTTAATACAACATTCTAAACGAAAGCTGTAAAGTAAATACATTTTTGGTAAATTGAGTGAACTGGTCATTTGACAGTACAGATGAACAACCCTACATTGACAAAAAAATAAAAATTATTAAAAATAATCTTAAAGAAGTTTCTTGAAGCCAGGAATTTCCATATGAAACACTAAAATTTTTATTCATAAGAGAAATTATCCTATGACTCTTAGATTATGTTTCTTAAAACATGTTTAGAAATTTAAAATCTAATAATTTGTGACATTAAGATTAAATCATTATGAAGATTAGAGATACTTAGAAAGTAAGAAATGAGAATATCACTTGAGTGATAGTGCATATAGAAATTTATGGGACATCTAAGCTGTCCTTGGGTGGACAATTCTTTACTGTATATAGTAGGAAAAAAAGGAAAACTAAAAAGTAATGAACTTAACTCAAAGACAGCAGAAGAAAATACTAAACATACAAGATATTAATTAAATAAAAATAAATAGAAACTGTTAACACAAAAGCTGCTTCATTGTAAAGACTAACTAGACAAACTGGCAAAATCAGACAAAAAAGGAAAAGGTACAAATAACCAATAGTAGAGGTGAAAAGAAGAATGCCACTATAGTTTTAGGAAGGACATAAAAAAAATTTTTTTTTTTTTTGAGTTGGAGTTCTCACTCTGTCGCCCAGACTAGAGTGCAGTGGCCGCTCCCGGCCACCGCAGCCTCGACCTGCTGGGCTCCGGCAATCCTTCCACCTCAGCCTTCCGAGTAGCTGGAACTACAGGTGCGTGCTACCACGCCTGGCTAATTTTTTTGATTTATTGTAGAGATGAGACCTCCCCAGGCGGGTCTCGAACCCATGGGCTCAGGCAATCCACACACCTCAGCCTCCCAAAGGTGCAGGATTACAAGCTGAGCCACCGAGCCCGGCTAGGACATAAAAATTATAACCAAATATTATAAAAATCTTTATGCCAATAAGCAAACCATTTTGTAGAAAACATAAATTTCTAAAACTGACAAAAGTAGAAAAACAAAAGATCTACAACCATGTAGTAAATCTACTCCTCAGTTTTAAAAAAGCTTCAGGAGAGTCCAGAGCATTTAAAATAAAATATAAAAACTTCAAGATATTACCTGTTTTATGCATTCATTGTAGACAATGATATTTTATAAAGCTAGTATAATTTTGATAAGTGTTTGAGAGAGGAAAATTATAAGCCAGTTCCAATTGTGAACATAGAAATAGATATAAAATTCTTCAATAAGATATTAACAGACCAATGCAGTATTAAAAAAAAAGTGGCCAGGCGCAGTGGCTTAAGCCTGTAATCCCAGCACTTTGGGAGGCCGAGGTGAGAGGATTGTCTGAGCCCACGGGTTCGAGAACAGCCTGGGCAACTTGGCAAGACCTCATCTCTACAATAAATCAAAAAATTAGCTGAGCATGGTAGCAAACACCTGTAGTTCCGGCTACTTGGAAGACTGAGACGGAAGGATTGCTTGAGCCCAGCAGGTTGATGCTGTGGTGGCTGTGAGCATGCTTACAGTCTGGGCGATGGAGTGAAGCTCCAATTTAAAAAAAAAACCCACCTCTTAATCAAATTGAGCCTATCAACCAGGTACAGTGACTCACTCCTGTAATCCTAGTGCTTTGGGAGGCCAAGGCAGGAGGATCACTTGAGGTCAGGAGTTTGAACAAGACCCCGTCTCTACAAAAAATTTAAAAAGAACGAAATTGAGCTTTTTTCTCTTTGTCTCAGTAACATAAGGATAGTTTAACATTGATAACCTTAATATCATTTACCAGAAGAAAACCTACAAAAAGCAGGAGATTCGGGAAAAGCACTTGATAAAATTCAAATCAACACATAATAATTCTCTGTGCATTAGTCATAAAAATGAAAATTTGTAAGCTGATAAGGGTAGATAATATAAGCATACTGCAAATATCTTAACAATATCATACAATGTCAAGAGCATTTCCATTAAACGTGTGAATAAGTTGAGGATTTCAGCTCTAATTTCTTTCATTTAGTATTATAGAGGAGGCTCTAGATAACCTAACAATACAAAGATGAAGAAATAAAGCCTTAAGGATCAATAAAGAAGAAACAGCTGACTCTGCTCACCAATGATGTAATTGTCTACATCAAAATCTCCCACAAGTATCTGCAGATAAACTATTAGAACTTCCAGGTGCAGTGACTCATGCTTGTAGTCCCAACACTTTGGGAGACTGAGGAAGGAGGATTGCTTCCGGCCAGTAGTTCAAGGCCAGCCTAGGCAACAAAGTGAGACCCTGTCTCTACAAAAACATAGGAAAGTTAGCCAGGTGTGGTGAGGTACACCTGTAGTCCCAGTTACTTGGGAGACTGAGGCAGCAGGATTGCTTGTGCCCAGGAGTTTGAGACTGCAGTGAGCCGTGCTGGTGCCATTGCATTCCAGTCTGGGTGACAGAGTGAAACCCTGTCTCAAAATTAAAAAAAAAGAACTAACAAGATTTTCAGCAAGGTTGCTTGATACAAGATCAGTATATAAAAATCACTAGTATTTTTGTATAACTAACAATAAACAATTGGAAAATATACTTTTACAGTGATACTATGTAAAGAAACAAATGATAATACCTAGGAATAAATTCAATAAATAATTGGTTTTCTGTCATTCGAGGGTACAATTGTTGTATTAAGAAATTAATAATTAATTAAGAAATGGCTATAAGTCTATTCCAAGTGGAAAGATGTTATTGCAGCTTATTAAACACCTAAGCTTTCTGTAGTAAGAGCTGCTAAAACTACTCACCACTTATTTATAAAATTGGATATGCACAATCATATAACTATGTCATATGAATATATTAAACTATATTAGCTATTAAAACCTAAGCCCAGTACCCAGAACTATTAAGTTCTATATAACTATATTAATAGCTAATATAGTTCCTGGTCTTGAAAGAAAGCAACAGTAAAAAATGGGGATGCTAAGCATGTAAGCAAAGAAGCACTCTTAAATGTTTCGACTGTGATGAATGTGAATCAAAGCTCAGTGAAGGCATAAAAGCATCATCAGTTTGCTGAGAAGACAGGAGACCATGGACAAGATCAAATGGAGCCAAGTCACAAGGAAGTGTATGTGTTTACTGCACTGTTTATTATGGTCAGGCTAAAAATGGATGGGCGTGTGTAAGACAGCATGTCACCACTAATCTAGACTCAAGCTCATTGGATCAGAAGCACAGAATTTAGGATAATAAAGAAGTCCGAGTCTGCCAATGAGCTTATTGGACATCTGAGAAAGTACTTATTGTTAGGTGAAAATATATGCTACTTCCTTCTTACTTTTAAAACTTTTAATGATTATTTCCAGTA